CTCTCTCTCACTCCCATTCGCTTTCTCGCCGTTTTAAATCAAATAGCTCTTTTCCTTTCCACCCCTTTTCTCTACCTCTTCCTACGTCATGAAAAAAACTCATTCCCTAACTGTTCTTTGCTCTCATATCAAGCAACAGCTAATTACAATTCCATGCTCACCAAATTCTAAAATCATTTCCGAGGAAAATAGGTCTCCCGCCAAGCAACGCCTCGCCCGAGTGGCTTCGTAGCCCCCAGGTAAACTACCCCAGGAACAATCTATTTCTATCAAACACCACCGCCTAGGAGTCAGAATACGATTAAGGATCTGGTAAATACATTATTCGGCCCCCAGCATCAGATCAGCACTATTCTGCAGATTTGGCATCAAATCCTACTTCTCCCCATACCTTTTCATCTCGGTGCTGTAATTTTATTTGTCTGGCGGACGGTTCTAAGGAAGGCATATGATATTTAAGTCTTGCCTCGTAACTCAGTCGCTTTCGTGGGAACAGGGGAAAATGGATCTCATCATAGCCGGGTAATTACGGGGCTAACCTAGCATGTGATTTTGCAAAACTGAAAGACGACCGAAAGGAGGGGGTTTTTTTCCACCTTCCATTTTTTGCTTTTTTTTTTACACCCTCTCCTTTGCAGGGGTCGTGAGGATCGTGGATTTATTAAATAGGCAGGGGAAATTTTTGCGAGTTACTGAGAATGATACTGGTATTAGAACAAGGAAAAAAAGGGTAAGTGGAAGAAAGAAAATATTGCTGGAGAATAATACAAGGCAAAAATGGGGGGGGGTGCATGGAGTATGCATATAAAAGGGGGTGAAGGAGAGGTGATTCTTTGCTTTGATTCTGCTATCTTCTGTCTAAGGGGGCTGTTTTTAGTGGGTTCTTTTCTTTTTGTTCGTGGGTTTTTTATGGGGGGGGGGGGGGGGGGGGGGGGGGGGGGGGGGGGGGGTAGGGGTGGTGGCAAAAGAGCAGTCAGCCCTGCCACTACGCATGCTCTGTGAAGACGATCAGGTTACCGTTGGTTCCCCTTTTTGTGTTCAGAG